AATGTCCAAACAAAGATTATGTAAACATTTTTTAATATTCACGCACCGGGGACTGTATTTCTGCCTTAACAGCCGAGCAGTAAATTAAAAGGACGTTCCTCTCGTGTGTGGCTTTAGGTTGTCCCTCTGAAGGATTTCAGCTGAAAGCAAAAGATACCGCTGGGAGTAGCTGGAGTCTCTCAGCTGCTGCAAAGCAAACACTTCAGTCTGAAATGAAGGGGACATCAAGTGTGCATAGAAAACTAGACATTTAGCTCCATGCAGATTTATTCACAGTGCATACACTTCCTTCATATTTCATGACAAAAATAACCACCTAACTGTGCTCGTTTCCTTCTTTCTTACAAATATAAATACTGCAGTATACAAAACATAGAAAGAGTTTCTCAGTCGTTGGATGGAAACGCACACACAAAAACATTTGTCACATCGCGCTAGTTTAAAAAAACTGCATATTGTTCAGAAGGCACTGCGAGTTCATTTATGGAGTTTGTCTTTTAGCAGAAACACATGATGATAAGAGCAGAACAGACATTTAACCATATCTAGAACAAGACAAGAACACGGAACAGTGAAACCGTTTTGCTTTGATATACATTCATGATTATAAATAACAGTTAAACTCTTTACAGCGTGCAGATATTTAGCTCATGTTTTAAAGTGTTTCTTAAAGTTTTGCTCTAATAAAATGTCACAGTCTCGGTCCCGAGCACATTCGCCGACTGCCTGGCTGAGGTAGTCGTGGAGGATTAGTGTCAAGTGCAAGGCCTCTCACTACGTTTCGCTCTGGATGAGCACCAGCAGGTAGAGTCGGTGTGTGTGTGTGTTTGTAGAGATAGATAAAGGTTTGCTAAAGGTTGAACTAATCTGCGAGAGGTTTGGCCCCGTCGACTCTGGAGTCGTCCAGGTCTGAAGTGGTCAGGCGTTTGAGAGGCGCTGTGGCAGAGGGGAGAAGAAAGGATACACAGTTACAGTCCCGCTTCATTTACTAACCAATCACAGCGCGACATTTGAAAACAAGACATTTCTCACTAACAAGGCGCATAAAATATGATTTGCGCTACCTGCTACAGCCGAGGAAGTCGACTATGTGTGGTAATTACTCTGTATATTAACACCAGTGTTAAACAGCCACGAACATGTTTTGGCCTCCATAAATCTCGGCGGTAAAATGGACACAAAGCCACAGAAAGTACGCTCCTCTCGCGCTGAGCCAAATATTTGTAAGCGGCTTAGGAAAGTGCTACAAGTGATTTTGGCTGGGAGCCACTGGCAGTGATACAGGCAGACTCATTTCCAGAGCACTGATGGAAAGTTTCAGCGCCGGCTGCCATGTTTACATACTAAATGAAAGCGAGACTGTGCCCTGAATGTAACATGGTGAAATTTGGGTTATTGGTGAGCGTTATACTGAAATGAATGCAGATCAGAAACACTGACACATCCTTTTCACTACAGTCTGGATGCAGTTACTTAGAAAAATAAGAATACTTTGACAATAATTTTACAAGTGAAATTATTTTCTTCCAAAATACTGCCATACTGTATATTTTCAAATGATCAGCAATACAGAGATGCAGGAAATACACGACTCCCATCAAAGCATAGAACAGAAAGGCTGTCAGAGCTGCTTCGTACTCACACAGTGTGTCAGATCTCAGCGAGCTGCTAAGGAACGTGCCGGAGCCTTTGATAGTGGAAGAAAGAGCAGCCAGTTTGAGGCTCCTGGAAGTGGCATCCAACTTCTCGTGCTGGAAGAGGAGGAAATGGTAACGAGAATGTAGGCTACACACCAGATTTACAACAAACAAAACCAAACGCACACAACAGCTCTTTGGGTGGAAGGGGAAAGAAACCTTCAAGAGATTTATAGTCGTAGTGAGCCTGAGGATGGCATCGGTGCATACACTCTGCTGTCAGGTTATGATACATCTGGATAAAGGTAATCTAATGCAGCCGTCCTGCTATAAATCCAGCCTCCGTGAAGGAGATAAACTCCAGTTTTTATTGAAACTGTCTTAGAAAGATGTCGAATCAGCTGTATGGTTGTTTTGGAGGTTACGGTCTGTGCTGCCGATGCATTTCTATTACTTTATTCAGCCCTTTACATCACTGAGCCTCAGACGGCAGTTTGCTGAGCTGCAGAGTTCGTGATGTGAAGATGCAAAAAGCCGGCGAACTGAACGAACGGACAATCCATCAAGAAGCTGGTGAGACGTTATGAGTGTGCTTAATTTAACAATAATGTAAAATTTCCTTTACGCCATGCAATGATCACAGTGAAGTGTGCTGTGCAGGATTCTTAGGTTATAGCTAAAATAAACCATCTGAGTGAGTTTGGGCTCACGGAAGGCAGAAAAATGGCCCACGCTAAAGGAAAGGGGCTGCTGTTTGGGTCCCCAAAATACCCGTATGCATATCAAAAATGCTCCACAAAATCCATCCAATCGCTTCCGCTTATCCTTTTCAGGGTCGCGGGGGGCGCTGGAGCCTATCCCAGCTGTCATAGGGCGAGAGGCGGGGTACACCCTGGACAGGTCGCCAGTCTGTCGCAGGGCCAACACACAGGGACAGACAACCATTCGCACTCACATTCAATCACACATTCACACCTAATGGCAATTTGGATTATCCAATTAACCTATCCCCACAAGTTGCATGTCTTTGGACGGTGGGAGGAAGCCGGAGTACCCGGAGGGAACCCACGCAAACACGGGGAGAACATGCAAACTCCACACAGAAAGACCCCGGCCTGATGGTGGAATTGAACTCAGGACCTTCTTGCTGTGCGGCAACAGTGCTAACCACCGTGCCACCGTGCTCCACAAAATGATTTACATAAGCAATCACAGTCTTTCCAGTAAGTATACGCCCAAAAGTCATAACATTAAAACCTGGCCACCTACTTGGTCACTCCTGCAGACAACAGAGACCACCCCACCTGCACCGCCTCAAGGCACTGACGCACAGAGGGCTTCCCTCCATCGTTTTACAAAAAGAAAAACTGCTCAGAAACAGTTTGAGTAATACAAATCAGAGTCTTGGGCATACCAGCATCTACTGGAACAAACCTGATCCACAAAACATCCCAGCCTGAAAGATCCGCTGCCAACGTCCCAGTGCCAGACACCACAAATGTCAGAGGCTGTTTAGGAGGCAGGAGGAAAGCAGGTGTTTTTAATGTTGTGGCTGAATGCTGTGTACCTCTGCTGCCACACTTGCAAGTTTACAGGTCTCCAAAAGCGCTGGGTAAAGTGTGCAGTTTGAAAAAACCCCTTAATATTCTGTGGTTCTTTTGCAAGGTCCACAAAGGTGCAGCGGCTGCTTAAAGTATGACACGGAGCGCTTGTTGTCTTTTATCCTCAGGATATGGATCGCTAACTTTCCAGATGTCCTACGAGGCCAGAGCAGCGACGGACCAAAGAGATAATCTGAGCAGAAAAGTCCGAGAGCCTCGGCTAAACGTGACGTGGAAGCTGTTTGTAAGCACTGCTGCCTCTGTTTAAGATGGAAGTCTTATAAAGACGTTTCATCCATCCTTTTTCCTTAAACAAACCCCGAGTGGGCAGCAGCTATTAAGCTAATGCAATCGCCACTTATCACTCAACGCAGGAGTCATTTGGCAAACCAATGGGGTAATCTGGCAGATTAAAGCCATTTAAAAAGTGTCTGTATGGCTGTTTAGGGGAGGCTGTAAACTGCTGATGGCAATCAGCTGTCAACAACGATGTCTTGATGACTCCCTCGGCTGCTTTATAACAGAGAGGATGGCAGCAGCAATTAACAGTGAGTGGCAAATTCAAGTTGGGGTTTTGGTTTTGTT